TTATTATTTTTTAATTAAAAATTAAAAACATAAAAACTTAAATATATAGTCATACTTACAACCTGTAGGAACTAATTAAATTTATTATAGTTATATTATATTTTAATTTTAATAACTAAATAAAGTATATATCGAAAAGTATGTCAAATTAAAGAGTATATCAATCAATCAATCAACATTAGGAGAGTTTCCCTAGTTCCGATGCGATTCAATTCCGAATTAATCGAAACTTAATATAATTATTAGATATCGAGAGGTTAGTACAAAAAAGATATATATATATGTATCAATCTTTTTTTTATCTACCAACAAAATGAAATTTATATTAGATAAGAGTAAAAGAGTACTTTTATCTCATCATAAACATGATTTAGAATTCTCCCAAAAATACAAAATAATTAAACCACAAACACATAAATCCAAGCTAAATTATGTTACTTGATCCTGTACTTGTCTTGCTTTCTTCACAGCTTCCCCTGTAATGAGTCACTGCTCTAGCACAATCCCATGGGTAATGGCACCAATCATGGAAAGTAGAAGTGCATCCCTTAGCTTTATTTTTGAACCAAGTAAAAGGTTTCACCTGTATCAATTCTAGCCACATATCTTCTTACATCTGCACCGCCCAAAAAATTTCTTCATTCCTCCACACCCACAGGCATATACCAGCACATACCACTAAAAATACCAAAGCCAACACATCTCTCTCTCTCTTCCCATTTTCCCACCCAATTCCTATACACTATCTGCATACATAATTCCTTAATTCATATAATAATGATAATTATGTAAAACACCTAATTAAGAATAGAGAACGCGTGTAGGGTTAATTAGTCCGAGACTTTACTAAAAAGGGGGGACACTGGGTTAGACACTTAGATGTTGTTGGAAAATTCTTGAAATAATTTAAGGGAAAGTTTAAGGACCTTTTAGCTGAAGCTTATGTGCATGATGCAGTTTTCATTTTGCGGGAAGATTGGTTTATGGTTTATTGAAAGATCACAATATTCATATTATTGTTAATTAAAAATGAAAAAGAAAGGATTCGAAACTCTAAAAATGTGTTTGAATTAATTGTTTAGATGTAACTATAATTTATAATCAATATTTGTAGATTAATAATTATTAATTTTTTATAATTTAAAATATTTAATTTTTTAACTAAAATTAACAACCAATAACTAATTTTAAAATGGCAAAACAAACACTCCTTTGAAAGGAAATTTAACTGCTGAACGAGAGATATAAATAACACTTATCCAAGTGGGAGCTATTACAAAGAAAAGTTGTTTGGACTTCACCTAACCTTCATTTATTTTCACCTTTATTTGTCTGCTTGTTTAAGCAAGCATGTAGGTGGCGAATTGCAGCCAATAATTATTTCCTGCTTAATTTTCTTCTTTCTTGAGATATGACATTCATGAATGTTGCTGAGTTCATCAACAACTTACACCAAGGGCCTTTATATATGACTTACATGTTATCTTGAACATAATGTTGCTTCTTAATCATTATATGAAACTAATCACTCTCATATGTGAACCACATTGACAAAGATGTAATAATGTCCCCTGCCTATACTTCCAATGAGGTTAAGATTATTTTTTTTAGTCTAGTATTTTGCAGTTTTAATTGTAAAATACCAATTATTAGATTCACTCATTACAAAGGGTCTTTTATCATCAAATAATTAATGTTTTACAATTTAGTGTAGTATGAATTACAAACATTTTTTTTATATAGAAAGGGTAATTTCATTATCAAAAAGTTACATTAGAGATATAATTAGAATATTAGTTGCCCTCTTAGATAACTAGTGAAAAAGTCAATTATAATTACTACTCCTCTATTTAAAAATAAATTGTCAATTTTTACTTTAGATTGTCTTATATTAATTTTCATTTTTTTCATTTTATAAGATAAACAAATAATTTTTTTTATTTTAACTTTATCATTATCCATTTACTTTAATTAATCATTCTATTATAAACAATTTCTTTTTATCATTTATCTATTTTTTAAGAATAAAATAAATAAATATATAAATTATTTTCAAAATTTTAAATAAAAAATGACAATTACCTTAAAATAAAAGAAGTAG